GACACCCAACCAACTGAGCCACCCAGGAACCCCTTTACGTGTTCTATGTCCCTTGGTAGGGCTTTACCATGTCCATCATATGCGTCTTGCCTATCTCTGGTAAAGTTTACTGTAGACTTTTCATTTTTCAATTATATTGTAAATGGGATCTACTACTTCTGTTTTATTTTTAACTGATATATTTACCTAAGAAGGCTATTGATTTTTTTTTATTAATGTTACAATCAAGTACTTACTGAATTCTCTTGTTTCTGATGGTCTTTCAGTTGGTTCTCTTTTCTTTTTCTAACACATATCATCTGCAAACAATTTGGCTTCCCAACTTTCCAAATCCTATACATTTTTTTCACGTGCGAATCACATTGGCTAGTGTTCCCAGGTTAAATAACAGTGATACAGTGGGAATGCATGTTTACTAATAGGTTTTCAATTTACAATTTGGGAAATTCGTACCAGTGGAATTTTGATACAAGCAATCCACAGATCAGCACTGGGGGACCACTGACTTACATCCATGTATTTTTTCAATCTGGCCTTGAAAAATATTGCTAATTTTCATGATCTTTATGGAATATGAAGCCAGTAAAATTTCCTAAGATTCTGTGTAAGCCAGGCAGGACCCCCTTGTTATTGATAGGGCGGGGTGTCCCAGCCTGGGTAACGCCTTATATATTCTCCTGCTATAGCCTTAATCACTTCCTGCTTAGGCTGTTTGATTGACTTCTCCCACCAAGGAGCCATCCTTGGGGCGCCTGGGTGGCTCAGTCGTTAAGCGTCTGCCTTCGGCTCAGGTCATGATGCCGGGGGTCCTGGGATCGAGCCCCACATCGGGCTGCCTCATCAGCGGGAAGCCTGCTTCTCCCTCTCCCACTCCGCCTGCTTGTGTTCCCTCTCTCACTGTCTCTCTCTGTCAAATAAATAAATAAAATCTTTAAAAAAGGAGCCATCATTTTCACTCCATCCTGTGCCTGGCCCAAAGTAGATCAGATGGAGGACACTCTCTGTCTCTTATTGTTCAATTCTTTCTTCCCATGGGAGGCTCTTCCTGGAGAAACCAGGTTCTTCGAGACGCAGGTCAGCCTGCTCCTCTCACTGTCCTTGGGTGGAGTTCAGGGTGCAAAAATGGGCCCACCAGTCAGTCTACCATCTTAACGTCGCTGTCACGAAGTGCACAGGATTATCAAACGCCCCAGACCTTCTTTCGTTCCCTTCCAAGTCATCACAGCAGTGCGGTTTTCAAGGAAAGGATAAACCAGGCCAGACATGGTTGAAAATGTATTTATTTTTCTTCAAATGATCTTTTTCAAGCAATAAATAAAAAGACATGTCGACTCTTCTAAAAAACGAAACCAAACGAAAAAAATCCCCTCAACTATATACATCCTACCGAAATACAAGCATATCAAATGTAGAAATGACATCACTCTGAAAGATGGGGCTATTTACAAAAGTTACAAGTATTGCATTGCTCTGTCTTGAAGCCTCTTCCTCATATGACTCATAAGCTCTAAGGACGGGCAGCGTGCTCCTGGGGGACAGGGGTATCTCAAGAGGTGAAACTCCCCATTCTTTTTCTTGCTAGACAAAGGACATTTAAGGAAAAACCTCAACATCCAGACACTGTATTTAGGTCCCTAACAATGCTCCACAGATCAGCTGCCCTTCAAGGGGCATGAAAGGTGCCCCGTTCAGGAGGTCGCATGCTCCTTGAGCTCCTGAGAGAAACCATCTTGTCCCTCCACCGGGCTGGGACTGGCAGCAGGAACCTGCCGAGCCAGTGACAAACCCCTCGCTATGGTTTCTGAGAGACCAGCTAGTTCTGTGTCATTAAGACCCACCTCCAGGGGCACCTTGCCCTCCGGAAAGCAAGGTGGTTTTCCCCACCTTGGCGGCACTCGGAAAGCACCTGGGGAGCTTTGAAACATACGGACGCCGGGGTTCCAGCTCCGGAGACCCTGGTTTCATTGCTCTGGGACAGCCTGGTAGCAAGGTTTTCAAAACTCCCCAGTTGCTGCCAATGGACAGCCAAGGTGTACCCCTGCTTTAATACTATGGGCGCGGCAGTGAGCTCCCAACTGAATCAACCACCTACCGCCTTTCTGTCCACTTTCCCACAGATTTTTAAAAATTTCTCGCATGGCTTCCCAACCTTGTTGAAAAAAACTCTGGAATCCAGCTGGAACGAGCACCTGAGCAAAACGGCATCAGGAGGAAATGACTAAAGCTTCGAGCGCCCAGGCACCATTCACAGACACTTCAGTCTAATAGTTCTCCATGGGAAAGTCAAGTCCATTACCCTTAGTGCTCCACAAACATCCTTGGGTCACACAAGATTCCAGGAGGGAGCTGACCTCATCCCTTGGTCTCTAGAGAAGATCCAAGGTAGCCAACAGCACCGTTGATAGGATCAGTGAAAGTGGCAATGTTTTCTGGCCATTACAGAAATTTTGCATCACCAGAAATCACTTCATGGGAGAGATGCCGATTGAAATCCACCTGGCTATTTGAGCTGACCCTGTGGTGGTGTCTTCATTACAGTTACTTTGAGTCATCAAAGAGACTTCCCGATGACAGAATTATGACCAGGAAAAAAAAAAAATCCCCTTTTCCGATCAAGCCGACTTCCTATTTTATCTGAGAGTTCTGAGACTCAGGCTGTTATCAAGTACAAAGAAAATGGCTTTATAAATAGCAGTTTGACACGGTGACAGAAGACTTGAACTGGAAAGCAGGGGAAAGACATGTCTGGGGCTGGTCCTGAGCTCTGACTGTCCGTGTGGTTGGAATCCAGTCTGGGAAAGCACGATACACAGGTTTTGGCAAATGTACACTTGTTCCATAGAAAGTGAGTCTGTTCCAGGTTGCCTTCCCTCCCGCTGCCACAGGCTCGCCTGCTCCCCAGGTCTATCCGCTCTTGCAACCCATAGCTCTCATAGCTGCAGAGCTCACTGGACCTCACTAATCACAAAACACAGAGCAACTTCCAGGAATCAAGGAAAAAGTAGGAACGGCCAACTGTGCCATCTCTAAATAGGTCCATTGTCCAGGAACCCCAACCCCTCACCTCACCCCTACCTATTCAGCCAAGCAGCTCCCGGAGACGGAGGCTCCGGAGCCTCTGGCTTTTCTAAAACAGGAAGCGGGAACTCTGGCCTCACCCAAAGACAGGGCTTGACAAAGGCAGGATGAGTGATGCCAACACAGGTTCATGTTTGTGGAAGGAAATGCAATGAACCTGGTCCTGTCTGGGATGCCCGGATGAGAAAGAGCATTCCAACGCTATTCTGACATTGAGGCTTGAAGTTATTTATGGATGAGCAAGAATGTTCATTTAGAGCTAGACTCATAAGGGGCTAAAAAAACCCAAAAAAACCCAAAAAACAAACATGCTCTCATTTCTAGACAAGTTTGCAAATACCTCTAAGCTGACACTCTGTAACACTGTTCCACTCTACTACAGATGAAGTGACATGTAGCTTCCCTCTTCCCTCCCCCCAAGCCCAACCCGCAGAAAACATCCGTCTCCCTCCGAAAGCCTTGGCTCCCTTTGGAAAGGCCCCTTAAAATGGCATTATCCCAAGAGAGAATTCCACAACGGCGCCTGCGTGCCCACGGTGCCCAGGATAGAAGCCCATGGTGCCCAGGATAGAAGCCCAGCAGCCGGCTTCCAGGCAAAGGGTCTAGCCAGCTCCTCACACCCTCTTCCATTCTAGACCTGAAACAGGGTGTTCACCCCCCTCTTATTCAAATATGGGCCTTTAAAAATATTCACCTAACCCAGGAGTTTTAAGAAGGCAAGAACTTGCCCTGTACTTCCCTCTAAACAAACCCTGTAACACGAAAAACGCCGATTTATGCAGAAGAGAAAAAAGATGGTGCTTCCGATCACCAGAGGATGCACGTCTGGTCCATCCCTAGTTAGCTGCTTGTCCCAAGGGCCTCGCTCCACGATTCACTGTAAGACAATCTCAGTTGCACCCCATTTCCCAGGAGCACCTTTTACGACAGGGCATTTATCACAGATGATAAACAAGTCTTCCGGAAGGGCTGTGAGAAAAGGCTCCCACCGCCAAACTGAATTACTGATCCTGAGAAAAGGCTCCATCATTGGGACCTAGAGCTGCTTTCGTGTTCCCTGTACCCAGGAACCAGCTTCAAAAGGAATCAGAAAGTAGTCCTTCTCGTCTTCCTCCTACCACCCCACACTGCCTGCTTCTCAGTGACAACCAGTGCCCACCGACCCTCAGGCTACCTGCTCCGTACCTGGGACACACCGTCCAGTTCCCAACCGCCTTGACGTTTGCGAGCCATGAGGCTCCGCGGCGGGGCATCGACGGAAATATGTCCTAAATTCACGGTCGCTAGGCTCCTTGCACTGACATCCTCTGAGGAAATTCTTAATAAATACTTTTATTTATTATTAAGCATCATTATCCACCTGTTGGTGATTTCGAAAGGAAAACCAGGTCCTGTAAGATTTCTTAAAGAAAAAAACAAAAACAAAAACAAAACAAAACCTGTTCCAAGAACCAAAAAGAAGGAAGCACACAGAACCAGGCACTTCTGGCAAACTTGTTTTTTCTTTTTGTCCCTTTCCCACCCCCGCACCCCACCCCCGCACCCCTTAATAAAACTGGGTGGGCACATTTGCCAGGATCTGTGGGTTTCATAACTTCAAGCCTTACTGCTTAAAAAAATGAGGTAAGAAATTCCTATCTGCAAAGTAACACGGACACACAAACCAAACCGAGGTCTTCCCTGCCCGCTGAGGCAGCCGTTATTGCTCTAGGTTGGAGTGTTTTGTTTTGTCTGCTTGTAAGGTGTTTTCGAAGTCCTTATTGCCATTCTAGCTGGCCCCGGAGGAGGGGATTTGGGGGGGTGGGGGGATGCCTGGTCTCCGGGCCCTTGCGCTGTCAGTCCCCGCGGGCGCTGCCCACCCCGCGAGCCCCGCGGAGAGCCGGCGGCCGGGGTCGGGGTCGGGGTCGGGGCTCCCCGCGACCCTAGCAGCTGGGGGAGGTGGTGATGGGGCTGTGCAGGTATGGCAGGCTGCTGGGGGCCGCGTGCACGCCCACCGACACCGGGAAGCTGAAGACAAACTGCGACGTGGGGGTGGGGGTGGCCTTGCCCCGCTCCCGCAGGGGCCCGGAGGGGCTGGCTGCCTCCACGGCGCAGGACGTGGCCAGCACCTGCGACTCGAACTGCAGCAGCTGCCCCATGAAGCTGAAGTTGGGCGAGATGACGCTCCGCCGCTGCTTGACGAACTCAAAGGCCTCCTCCAGCCTCACCCGCTTCTTCATCATCAGGTAGGCCAGGCAGATGGTGGCCGAGCGCGAGATGCCCGCCTGGCAGTGCACCAGCACCCGGCCGCGGCGGTCCTTCACCGCATCTGGGGCAGAGAGCGCGGCGCCGTTAGTGCCCTGCGCGCCCCACCCCCCGGGGTGGCCAGGCAGCAGGTGCGGGCAATGGGGGGCGGCGGGGGGGGGGTGCGGAGGGGGGTCTGAGGAGTGTTGGAGGAGGGGCACTCCCATTCAAGGCATAATAGTCCTAGCGAGGAGGGGGCGGGGAGAAGCCCACTGCAAGGGACTCTAGCGTTCCACCCCTTCCGGGCTATTTTTGAGACTTCACCAAACAAATGCACTGAGCTTGGGAAAAACCCGGGTTCAAGCCGGTTAAATCCCAACACACCTCCAAGGATTTCCATTTGCAGAAACAAAAACAATGACCCCAATTCTCCCTTTATTTGTCTTCCTCCCCATCCCCAAAGCCTTATCATATGGACATCTGGAGACGGGCAAGGAAAATGGTATTGGCTGGGTAGGCTAACGGCTCGGGGTGGCAGCCGATCTCCCTATCCCCCCTGCAACACAACTTCCAGGCGGCCAGCCTCCCTTAGAGGCAGAGGGGACATGGGTACACCCTGGATGCAGCGCCCCCCCCAAGCCCCTCCTCCAGCGGGCGAGGACTAGGGGTTCCCTGCCATCCTCCCGCCCTCACCGGCGTCTACCGCAGCGCCAACCTACCGATGTACTCGATGGCCTCCATGAACCAGGAGCTGATGTCTGCCTTGTGGTTGTCTTCCACCGGGATGCACTTGTACTGATAGTGTCCTTCAAAGTGGTTCGGGCAGTCAGAGGAGACATTCAGCAGGGCCGTGATCCCCAGGGCATCCAGCATGTCCCTCCGAGCAGCGTGGTACGCGCTGCCGAGGTAGAGGAAGGGAAGGATCTCCACAGGACCCCCCTGCACCAGAAAGGGAAAGCAAAGGCCCCCGGACATGGTGAGTGTAAGGCACCCAGAAAAAGGGCTGGGATGCTCAGGATGGGGAGAGGGAACCTGCCCAAGGTGGGCTTTCACAAGCCCTGGGGAGAACGCCTGGGGACACAGCCCTCCCAGCTTTCCCCTGCACCTGCTGGGGCTCCCGGCAAATGACAGGCCCAGGCGACTTCTCTGGCCTTTCCACTCTGCTCTGCTGTGAGCAGAGAAGCCGGGGCGGGTAAAGCCTGGTGGGCCCCACTCACGGGTTCAAGCAGCCCGCCTCCGCCCTGACACATGAAGAGGCAGACACCATGCTGGCCTTGCCACACCATCTGCGACATTCATCTACACCTAGCTGGTGTGTGGTCAGGTGGCACACTAAAAATGGGTGTTATGTCAGCCTCACAGGCTAGAGGAGGCGTCTTGGCAATATGAGGTAACGTCGGCTTAAATTCGTGACATTTTCTGAGTCACATCAACTCAAATGATCTGGGATCTGGGAGCAGAATTGCTGGACCCCATAAATTCGCCCCATCTAATGAAAGAGCTAGAGTCGGGGCTCGTAAGGAATATAGCGGCTTAAGCGGGTTTTCTTAGCAGAGGGCTGGCCGACCATTTACGTCCACTTGGCATTTACAGTGGGTTGTGCACGGAGGGGGTGGCCTCAGGTCCCTGGGCCGCGCCTTCAACGAGGGAAGCTCTCTCAGCTTTCTACGTAGCCTGTCACACACTTCTGATTTCAGCAATCCTCGCCTGTCTGCCCGTAACTTCAGAGGCTAAGTCAGAAAGGTATGTCTTTGTATTTTTCCGAGTGGGGCTAATAAGAGGGAAGGGGGAAGAATCCTAAGGATCAAATGGACCCTCCCCAACACCCCATCCCAATATTCAGGGTTCACTACATTCTCCCCAAACTGAGGGACTGTGTCCCAAAGCCCTGAAAAGCAGAAACCTGAAAATAAGCCCCCTTGCCCCCACGTTGCCGCTTCCTCCCGGGCTCTGGGCCCCGAGTCCACCTGGTCATGCAGTGGGGTTCCACAGGAGCTGCAGTTCACGTCCAAGGATTCGGCAGCGCTGGGGGGCACAGCCGGTGGGAGGGCTGCCAGGGCCTTGGTTTTGGAACAGAATTCTGGGTACTCGGAGGAAAACCTCTCATAGCCACCTGTAAAAGAGAAATATGGTCGGGTTAATAGGGTCACTAAGCCCGCAGGAAACCAGAAAGTACTTGAGTCCTCCTACCCCTAGACTGAGAATGGCCGCGAAGCTGGGGCTGGCTGGATCTACACTGGCCACTGGGTGGCGCTGTGGGCCCAGAGATAAAGTCTGTGGAGGCTTCAGAGCGCCTCATTTGGCGGGGACTTCATTCTGAAGGCTGAAAGGAAAGTTTTAGGAACATGACAGGTTCGGGATGCAGATACAGAAAGGAGGACGTGCAGGAGGTATGCCGAAGGGACCTTCCCCAGCAGCTCCTGAGGGTGATGATAAAGCATGGAAGACAGGATGGCCACTGGGGGTTCCCACAAGTAGGGAGGCAGCCTGGTGCCAGGCCCTGGGACCTACCAAGATGTCTGTCATCCCCCAACTCCAGCCCTTCCTTTGGAGAGGTTCTCGAATGTGGAAGAGAAGGAAAAAAAAAAAATTACCCTGGCACCAGCCCTTCTGGATCTCAGCAACAGAACAGATGCCAATCGCCCAGCCTCCCGAACAGCTGTTCCATCCACAAGGGGCCAAAATAAGAGGAAACGGGCTTAAATACAAATCCCTCTTGCTACATACAGGTTTGGGGCAAGGCAGGATTTCCTGCCCTGAGAGTTGCTAAGCTCTGGAATGGTTATCTGTGGGATCGTCTTCCGGGGAAAGGAGGTCTTTTAAGTAAAAAGAGATAAAGGGCCAACTTTTCTGGAATAGTGTTAGTGCCAAGCAGAAAGGTGCCGGCTGGCTGGGGGTGGGCAGAGATGTAGGCAGGGGGCAGGGGGACACCAGGAGGACAGAGACGCCTGGCCAGCATCTGATTCACTTGGGAGCGCTGGGACTTGGCTTGGCGAGTAACTTGGCATCTACTGTCCACGTGTGGCCCTGCCTGTATTTTTATTTTGTAGTTTCTGTAGGACCCACAGTGGATCATAAATTAATTCAGGAGAGCCTGCAGGTTGCTGAACAACCACTCTAACGGACCCGTTTACCCAATGGCCACGTCGGTGGCTGGCACAGCTAAGTGTCTGTGTGTAAGCGGTGTGGGGCCAGTGTGCCCTGGGACCATTCGTGGGAACCTTCCAACATGCAGACCTGTGACAGTGAGTCAATGACTTGCCCAAATCCCACTCCCCTGCCCCTAGAAAATACTCCTTTGCAGAGGAAGGGAAATGATTATTACAGAAACACGGTATACAGTTTTTCCTCTGAGCCCCCCTCTTCTGTGTTCCCCTCCATTGCCTCCCTTGGGATAGAAATGGCTATCTCCCTGCTCACCGGCCTCGCTCCTGCTGAGTCACAACCACCAGCCACCCGGGAAGGAAAAACCCGCTCGAGGGGCCAGGACTGGCAGTTCCAGGCGCGTTGGTGGCCTTCACGTGGTCATCTCAGCACAGGGGCACCCCTCCTGCCCATTAGCACCCCTTTTTCCTGATAAGGCTACAAACATGGCTGTCCCAAATGCAGTGAAGAGAGGATGCGGGAAGAGCCAGGCAATGTCTTTAGCTGCGGCCCCTAAGACAGGACTTGGGGCAACTTCCCTCACTGTTCCCTCTTGGATGGGGGCGGGGGGCAGTCAGGGAAGGATCAGTCAGCAAACCGCTGGTGAACACCCATATACAAAGCCATTACTTGTTACTCTACACGTTTCTATAGGATTTGAAGATTTTTAAGTTAACTAATCTCTGTGTTTATATTACGGAATTTGAGCTATTCAAATACAATTTTTTTTTCCCACAGAAATGTAAGGCCTGGGCGGTGCCCTCCATAAACTCATCACCAAGACAGGCAGACTAGCAGTGCCCACCGGCCAGTGGCAAGTGGCGGGGGGGAAGTCCTGGGGGGGCCAGGGCCAGGCGGCAAGGTCACAGAGGAGGAGCACCCCGCCCTCCCCGGAGCAGCGGAAGTGGGAGGGGCCTCAGAGTGATTGACACAGTGTTCTTCCCACTGCTGAGAAGGCACAGGGCAGGGAACCAGATGGACGCGCCTTCAGACTCACAGGTCTGGGTTGCATGCCAACCCAGAAAAATCATTAGCTGTGCGGCCTAGGGCTGTCATGGAACCTCTCTGAGCCTCTCCCTCATCTGTAAAATGCGATGAGCCGTCGGGGCCCGGCGGCGTCCTTCGAGGCCCGCTTGGAACAGCCAATGCTCTGCGCCTGGCCTCGGAGAGACACATAAGGCTTCCTCTTTTGGCACCTACAAGGGGACCCAGCATTACTGGCAACTTCCCAGACTTTGGACAGCCTTCTCCTACCGGGCTTTACTGATTTTTTTCCACTCACGGTCCTGAGATCTGGTCGTGGGACAGTAGAAGGGCAGGCCTTGCCCTGTCTGAGTTCCAGGACCTTTCCCCCTCAGGGACATCCCCTGCCTCGGGGTAGGTCCTCAGCCAACCCCACAGGCAGACAGCAGAGCAGCAAGCACAGAGGGCTCCAGGGGCCGTGGTGGGCAGGGGGCAGGCGGCCAACTGGGCAGGACAGAGGTGACCCAGGGCCAGACCAGGCTTGAGGGGGGCCATTTGTCATCCCCACCTCCCCCCAAAGCCCCCAGACCTCTCCTAACAGGGCAGAGAGGGTGGGAGGAGACAGCATTAGAATGGAACAGAAACATTATGACTGAAGTCAGTTCCCTCTGGCAGATCTTGAAAGAACACGTAGAAAGGAACCAAGTGAAGAAGCAATTAGCCCAAGGGACTGGAGCATCCCAGGCCAGAGGCAGCAATGAGAGGGTTTTTCCCTCCTGAGCTGTCACTAGCTTCGGAGGATCCATTACAAGGAGCAGTACCAAAGGAGGTCCTTCTTGCAGATAGATGAGCTGCACTGGGCCAGGACGTGTCGGATGAGTAGAACTCACAATGACGGCGGGCCAAGAGTATGCAGGCAGGGTGGTAGGGGCAGAAGCCTGCAAGTTAGGAAACCACCCACACCCACACCCCACAAGAGCATCCATCCTCTACGGCCATCAGCGCCATGTTAGTAAAAATGATAGCCACTGTTATTAAGGGGAAATGCCCACTGTGTGCCAGGCTCTTCCCAAACATGGGTCCAACCAGCAGCCTTTGAGGTGACTGGCACCGATGTTACAGAAGAGGAAACTGAGGCGCAGGGCCACCCCCCCCCCCAAGTAAGGGCAGGGCCAGCGTTTAGCCCACTGGCCTCAAAGCCACCTGCTAGTCTGGCCATCAGGAGCCCACCCTGCTGTGTGCCCATCTCTGTCTTCCTGGTGGTCCTTCTCTTGGGGGAGGCACAGCCTGCTGGTTTCACCGCGTTGAAGACACGAATGTTCTGGCAAAACCAGAAAGGATCTGAACAGGACACTCCTGACATTTCACCAAACTCTGCCTCTTCCCAGGGCTTTTCAAACTACAGGTTGTCACTGAGAAGTCATGACCAGCACGTTTTACTTAACGGGATATAACAGAACAGAAACCTCTAGAGTGAATTTTATTTAAATAAAATAAAAATTATTTAATAATTTTTCGGAACTCTGGTTTCAGGTGTGACTGTATCCCTACAGGGTCATGATGTCAGGATTTCAGACCGCATCATCTTTAAGTGCCAATACTCTGTGATCCTAAACGTCACAAACTTCATTTGCAAACTACGAACTGGCAGCAGGTGTCTCTGAGATCTGCTTTTCGAGCTCCTGAATACAATTTCATGACACATACGCCAATGACTTTCCACCTGTTCTGTGTCCAACAGAATGTAATTCCACAACAGATAATCTGACTCATTTTGACCCGTTTTTCCCGTGTTCTTAATAATTGACTTTCTAGTCTTAAAGTTCTCATTTTCTCATCTTCATTTTGAAACTTGAGAGGCCAGAGGGGAGAAAAGGAATATAATGCCTCCCCACCCCACCCCCGATCAACTTTCTTGAGGAATAGCTGAACTCCACACTCTTTTTCTCAGACTCACACAGCAAGACAACTGTCACAGCTTACTGCAAAGGACGACCCACTGGCCACACGTCCATGCAGAGCTGGGACAATGTGCATAAAAGTGTTCTAGAAAATACTCTAGAATACTTCCCCTGATGTGGGCGTTAACTCAGTAAGCACCCCCATAAATCCTGAGCAGTACTCAAAATGTACCTAAGTGAGCTTCTCACGCTGGGACCACAGGCACAGACCTCTGTGTCCTGCGCCAGGTGGCTGACACCTAATGCCTTACACTGGAGCTGGGTCTGGGTTGCCGTCCCTCCCAGAACTTCTGGGCTGTCTGCTCCGTTCAGCAAGCGGACTTCTGCTGGCTTCCGTTGGAGAGTGAACTTTTCTTCCTGTCAAACTGCCTTTGTCAGGCAGCAACTGCCTCCCAACAAGGAAACTGGCTATCTGGTTTCAGATGTTCTGATTTTTTAAAGGAATTTCTTGGCTCCTTAAGAAGGCCGCGCTCGGGGCGCCTGGGTGGCTGAGTCCGTGAAGCAACTGCCTTCGGCTCAGGTCATGATCCCAGGGTCCTGGGACTGAGTCCCGGGCCAGGCTCCCTGCTAAGCAACTAGTCTGCTTCTCCCTCGGCCTCTGCCCCTCTCCCCAGCTCATGCTCTCTCTGAAATAAATAAATAAAATCTTAAAAAAAAAAAGCCCCCCTCCCTCAGTCCTGCATAACCCACCTCCCCTCTCAGCCTAAGAGGACAAGCCCAGGGAGCTGTGATGGGCTTAATAACTATCAGGTTTTCACCTTCATTTTGTACCTACACCCCATCTTTAGTTAGTTGTGTTCGTTGGAAGCACCCAGTTCGAATGATGCAAAAAGCAGTGAGTTTGCTTCATTCGTTGTCATTCTTTAATCAATTGCAGTGGAAGTTAGAGATTATCTTTAAGGCCTACCATTTAGTGTAATTCTGATGCTCTCAAGCCTCAGCTGTCATGGGCATTGTATCATGTTTGTAAGGAAAAAAGCACATCCATTTCTCTTTGCGGGGGGGGGGGAGGTGTGCAACCTCATACCCCCCGGGGTTTGCTGTTAGATACCACTACCTTGGGGCGAGGGAGGGGGTTAGGGTGGGTGGGGCAGAGAGAAACAAGACAGTTACCAGAGTTAGAGGGCTGCTGGCTGAGCACTCCCCACTCCATCACTGGCCTTGCAGGCTGTTTCCTACAGGGAACAGTGCCTGGGGTCCCAGCGTGAGAAGCTCACTTAGGTACAGAAAGTGTCACGTCACCATCTGTATGGTCAGGCCCTAGGACTAGAGCATCTGTGAGTTCCAACCTGGAGGAAGAAGCTAGACTATCTAGTTGATCATCCTTTCTCAACAGCGCCAGGACAACTTTTAAATCAGAACTCAAATAAAAGCGGACAAAAGTCATGAGCTGAGATGAATTTGAGACAAGAGAAAAGCAAAATAGTGTTTTTATACCTAAAATCTTCTGCGTAAGACTGACTTATTTGAGAAGTATGAGAGGCAAAGAATGACTTCTATTAGGGTAAGAAAATGCTCTTTTTGTCTTTCTCTTATGACCAGGGTGTAAAACCCCAATCTCAGGATTTACGAAGGAAAGAGAAAGGGGCTTCAAAGGAGATGTGTATTGTAATAAAATCTGAAAAGCTGAAATTTCTAAACTTTCCCTAAAAATGCCTTACAGGATTTTAAATAAAGTAAACTTAGAAGAACGGGAATCTTTTACCAGCAAAAAGACCAGAAAATGTAGTGATTTAGGTGATTGCTCTTAGCAAAACTTGGACACTATTAGGAAATGTAAAGGCGAGGCAGCATTTTATTGATATTAAGTAACATATACTCTTAACTGTGAATTCTTGCATGTGGTATTAGTTAACTACCAGCCACGAGCAACCACTGCCCTTCCAAGTGGCAGAAAGAGAAAACAGATTTTGAAGCACCGTTAGTTGGTAGAATGAGAGAGCCTTTGGCTGGGGAGGATAATACAACTTCTGAAAATATTCTGCGGCGTTTCTGTCCCCACAGGTTGGCAGAGACCAACACTCGGTTCTTCCTCTGGCTTAACGTCTGACCACTTTTACTCCACACTCACCAAATGAGACCTATGCACAGTCCCATTACATGAAAATTGAAATGAGCAACTCTGATGGGAACCATATCAGCCAACCCCTAACCCATCAGGGCATTTACTAAAGATAATCTAAGGGGCTTTTCTCCTGCTCACCAGTGTTTCCCTTTAGTTCCCTGCCCCCAGAGTGCCCTCCCATGAACCCACATTTTCTCCACCCGAACTGAGGAGGCTTGCTTCCTTCTCCCAGCCCGCTATGAGAAGACACTTGCCGGGTCTTCCTGGCCTCACTAGGGATGGCTTTTCATTAGAGGACCAAGAGCAGGAAGAGGAACGGTGTTGAAGCTTCCTCTCCTTAGCACATGTATGAGAAGAAGCTAGGTTACATAGAATATGCCCCTGTTAACCTGGCAGACCTTCTACCATCACTGCAGACCTAGCCCCTCACCACCACCACCACCACCCCCACCCACCCACCCACCCCTCTGAATCTGAGGCGACTGCTCCCAAAGGCAGGCTCCCTTTGCTTAGAAGACACTGCGAAACCTTTCCTGGCTACTCCCCGGGCCTGGTCCTGAAGAGGCATTGGTTCTACCTGCTGCCCAGGCCTGGACGCTCGAGAATGCGGACTTGGAGAAGCCTGGCGTCGCCCTCCCTGCCACACCAGGTCAGACTACAGGAAGCAGTACAGGCCTCGGGGCGAAAGAGCCCCTAGAAAATTCCTTTTCCTTTGGCCAGGGACATCGCTAACGGCCAGGGGACTGTCATTTTCCCCGGAGTCTCCTGTCCTACGAGGGGGCTGTCATTGTACCCAGAGGCTCCTGTCTTACCCCGAGCATGAGCCTCGCGCCTCGCGGCGAGTCCGCGGGGCGGCTCTTCCGGACGGATCCGGTTCTGGACTCTCCCCGCGGGACCAGGGAGGTGCCACGAGCCGGAGGAGGAAACCTTAAAAATATGCCTTCCCGCCCCGGGGCTTAGGTGTCCTCGCGCCCGGAAGCCCAGGGGCCTAGGTCCCCGAGCTGCTGCTCTGGGGCGATCCCCTCCGGATTTCTTCCAGGAAGAAAAACAAAACAAAACGCACCCAGACTCCACGTGGGTCTGCACGACCTCCAGAAGGGCCCTGGCTTCAGAGGCCCGCCAAGGAAGGCGCAGGTTTGGGCTCTAAATCAGGAGGGAGAATCCCGCGCAGCGCGGCACGGAGAACGCCCCGGCCAGCCCGTGCCACTCGAGGGGCCCATCGCCCCCGAGAATTTTCTCTCCCCTTTGCCACGAAAGCCGGGGGTGGGGAGGGGAGGGCGGGAGTGCTCCACTACCTCGCCCCCCACACTGGCGCGGGAGGGGGCTGGCCGTGCCTCCGCCGGGGGCTCCCGGGCACTGCTCCGCCACCAGGCAGGCGAGGCCACCGGGTCCCGGGCGCCCGGCTCGCCGGGCTCAGCGCCGGTCCTTCCGGTGCAACCTCTTCCCCGCACTTTCTCTTAAAGCGCTTTGGGGAGAAGACAGGAGGATTAGGCTCCCTCGTCGGTGCAAAAGGCAGCCCTCACAGAAAAAGAAAAATCAGCAAAATCGCCTTAGTAGTTCAACCAAAGGTCAACAGCAGCATTTCCCCCGCAGCTGACAGGTCAAATGGCCAGGAAACAACTGGCGAGAACAAAGCCCCCCGCTGTTCGGCAGGGGCGAGCCGCGCTCGCCGACACTGAGCGGGGTTGTTGTGCTTTTTGGGAAGGGCGGCGGGGAGAGGTTTCCGCCCCTCCTCCCGCCACCACCTCCCTTCCTCTCGGGTGAGCAGGTCCGGAGGGAAAAGGAAAGGAGGGAGGAGGCGAAGGGCGCCTGCAGGGAAAGGAGCGGCTCTTTGAAGGCCTGGGTCTGAAACGCCTCGCGGGTTCGGAGGCCGGGACCGGACGCTGGCGAAAGAATGCGCGGAATGCGGCGGTGGGAGGCAGGGGCGCAGCGCGGCAGGGGCGCCCCTACCCACAGCCGGTTCTGCGCCCCCCCCACCCCGCGGGGACCGCCAAGGGCCGCGGCTCCTCCAGGCCGGGCAGGTGCGGCCGGTGCACCGTCCCTCCAGTCACTTAGCACGCGGTCCTTTGGGGGTTTCTGACTTCCAAATTTGACAAGAACTCCCGTCTCCGAAGAGTTGCACCAAGGTTCACTTAAAGCAGGCACGCGCCGCCAACAGAGCGTCGAGAAGCGGGTCTGAACAAAAGGTCGTACGTCTCCGCGGCCTGGATTGAAGGGGCGCAGTCCCATCTCGCGCTGCCCGGATACTCAGTCCTCCCGCCCCCCCCCCCCCCTGCTCCCGGAGCTGGGGTCTAGCCCGAGGCGGGAGAAGTTGGCCACTTTCCAGGCGGAGCTCGGAGTCGGGCAGCAGGGGACGAGACACAGCTCCACACAATGTCCGAAACCCGAGCTGCCTTTCTGCGTTTACGGAGCCGTTCCCACTTCGGCGCTCACCCTTCACTCTCTTCCCCACCTCTAGGATTCTCGGGACTCGGCGCAGGGCCCGGGCACGCCAAGCCAACAGGCCTGACCTGTCCCGGCCCGCACAGTGGCACTGGGAGCACCCCCCCCCCCGTTCTATAGGTGGACAACGCAGTGGAGTCGCTTCGCCTAAGAGGCCCGACGGTCAGTGAGTGTAAATAAATGCAGAAGCTCCGAAGAGTACGGACTTGCAGGTGACAGGGGAAACGCACCCTCACCGTCTCTGAGGACTTCGGGCGCGCTCGCACTTGCACGCAAACGCGCAGAAACCTTGCAAACCCATGCACACCAGCGCGCACAAAGCAGCGCGCCGGGATCCTCGCGGCCACGAATCCCTCCGGGCACTTCTTCCCCTGCCCACCAAGGCTCAGGTCGCTGAGCCCCGCTACACCTCCCCACCGGCTCGCGCCCCGGCGCCCGAGTTTACCTTTGAGCAGGCAGATGTCGGTGCGCTCGGCGTTGCGGCGCAGCGCCTGCACTACCAGCGACACGGTGCTGTCTTCGCGGAGGCTCTCGGCGCGCGGGCTGCGCTCGTCGTAGACGATGACCGCCGAGTAGAGGCCGGAGCGCAGGCGGGCGCGCACCTCCTCCTCCGCGGGCAGGATCTGCTCCAGGCTCACAGAGCCCTTGGCCCGCCGCCGCACGATGGTGTTGCAGCGCACGTTGACCGAGCCTCGGATGTAGCCCGCGCTGTGCGCCAGGAACGGTCTGCAGTCCAGCAGCAGGCACTTGCCGCCGCTCAGCAGCCCCAGGGCGCCGTGGCCGCCGCTGCCGCCCGCGCCGCCGCCGTTCTCTTCCCGGTTCATGAGCCTTTCGAGCACGCTGCAGTCCATCTCCCGCAGCTCCTCCACCGTCACCATGGTCGCCGGGCACGCGAGGAGGCGAGGCACACCTGGGCCAGCTGGGCTGCAGGAAGGGGCAAGCGGGGACTAAGGGAAGCGCGTGCAGAAGTGGCTGCAAACTTGGCCCCCACGGCCTCCCGCGGCCGGACCTCTTCTCCCCGGTCCCCTTCCTCCCGCAGTCTCGCGGTTACATAGCAGTCCGAGCGGCCTCGGGCACCCGGCAGCACCACGCGCGCTGCCGAGGGGGAGGTGGCGGTGGAGGGGAGTGTGTTTACGGGAGAGGACCACGGGCTCCCTTCTGTTGTTGCCTCTATTGTAGCTGGCCCGTTGTGTTGCTCCAGCCGTAGCCGCCACCGGCGCTGCCGTTCCGGCCGCCGCTCCCCACCAGCAGCCGGAGCTCCGCGCACTGCCCCAGCCAGAGTTTCCTCTTTGGCTTATAGATGTATTAATGCTCCTCCGCTCTCCCCCGGGAGGGGGCAGATTCATTACTACCTCCCGAGGCCCCGCCTCTTGCCATTCCGGGCCTCGCGCCCTCCCCCCCCCACCCCCCGCGCCGGCTCCCCGCCCCATCCCGGCTCCCTCCGCCCCCTCCCCTGCGCGTGAATGGAGTGAGGGCCGCTGGCGCCCAGTCATGGGAACGCGACGTCACAAAGAGCGGAGTAAACAGGGCCTCGGCGCTCGCCGTCAGGCCCATTCATAAAACCGAGACCTAGAGGAAGAGGGAGGCGGCCTCCGACCGGCAGGCGAGCGGCAGCGCCGGGACTTTGTGAATGGAGCGCGGCGGCGGCGGTCGCGGCCGGCCGGCCCCGGTCTCCGCGGCGCGCGGCCCGCCGGACACTAGTCGCCGTGCAGCCAGTCCACCCCGCCGCGGTGGTGCGGCGTTCGGCGTACGGAGAGCGGCCAGCCAGGAAGCCGGCCTAACGGAGGCCGGGGCTCGGTTTGGAGGTTTCGTTCCATTTTGCCTCCGTGCTTCCCCCTTCGCAGCCTCGCAGGTCTCCTCCGGCGCACCGGAGTGGAGAGGGCCACGTTGCCCCGCTGCCCAGCGGGCACGGCCCGGGCTTACGGAGTGCGTTCCGCCTGGCCGGTCGTTTTCTCAGCGCGACTCCTCAGACGTTAAGCTTATGCATTAGCGTGATCGATTTTCATCCCCCGCCATTAAATCAGCCTTATAGCTTCCCGAGGAACGCGGGCAAGCCCCAATGTACAAGATGAAAGAGAAATGCCCTCCTGTCCCGAAGCCCGGTAATAGCGAGGTGTTGGGTTTGTTGCTTTACGACCCAGAGGGCGGCATTAATTGTCGGAATGTTGTTCCTACGGAGGAAGGCAGGGGTGCCACTCCCGTCCACGCTTCCTAAAGATGCTTTTTTAAAAAGATTTTATTTATTTATTCATGAGAGAGAGAGAGGCAGAGGGAGAAGCAGGCTCCCCGCTGAGCAGGGAGCCCGCTACGGGGCTTCCCAGGACCCCGGGATCATGACCTAAGCCGAAGGCAGACGCTTAACCCTCTGAGCCACCCAGGCGCCCCTAAAGATGTTTATTGAATCCCGGTTTGGGGGGAAAACCCCACGTCTGGGGCTTTTGGAAAAGTCCTCACAAAACGTGAATTGTTTTCTCAGGAAATGACAATTAGGGTCTACAGTGGGTGCGAAGCTAGACCCTAAGAAATTGACACGTAAAGGATTTAATAAGTTCTGAGGGCGATTCCATCCCTCTTTCCAGGTCCTGTAGCGTTCTTCCCGCCCCCAGTTTTACTTAGGCATTTAATTTCCCAGAGGCCGCTTTTGGCAGGGGGTATGTGCGCGCCGCGGTGGGGACACGACAGAAGCCAAAAATTATTCGCCCGACATCTTGCCAAATCTTGTTAGTGAGAATTAACCACCGAGCGGGGGGGGGGGAGGGGAAGTACTGCAGGACTCGCTCGCGGCCCCGGTAGCAGCGGAGTTGAGCCTTCCATTCCGGGTCCCTCCTGGAAACACGACCCCGGCAGCGAAGGCCGCGGAACCCGCGGGGGCCTTCCCGCCCCCCACTCGGCCTTCCGCTCGGCCTTTGTTGCTGGCAGAGCGGCTCCCTGGAGCTCTCACCTCCGGGCCCCCAGGGCCGCCTCCACTCCCCTACCGGGTCTCGGGAGGGGACCTCCACTTCCGAGGCCTACCACCCGCGCTCCCCTCCCGCTGCGTCGCGAATCCCGCTTTGCCCGGGTCGAGTAGGGGCATCTTCCTTTTCCCTCGGACTGCTAAATGGCTCGGCTCGGTACCGCAAGGATCCTGTCTCTATTTAGAATTTAATATTTTGTTCATGGATTTTTTTTTTTCCAGTTGGTTGATTTTCATTGTCTTTAAAAGGCTCTGCATTTTGAACACTGACTTTTTACGAAATTTTACGCCAGGGGCACGCCGATCAGGCCCTGGAAGGGGCCACATCTGCGCACCGATCGAGGCCCCCGGGTGGCGGCCCTGGGGCGCCAGGCACTCGGGGTGGGAGGTCAGCAGTCTAAGCCTCGCTGCGTGGCCTCTCCCGTGGGGAGGGGTGTGTCCTTCCTCTCCGGGGCAAGGGGGGCCTCTGTCCCGGTTTCTCATTTGCTGAGCCGGCTGTAAGGCTCTAAAGGCTCGCTCTCGCTGGTACACCAGCCGTGTGCGCCCTCTCCAGGGAGCCCCCCAGGCCCGACCGTCCCGGGCCCCGTTGCTCTCCCGAAGCCCAGGAACCGGGCCCTGCCAGGCCCGCCGGCTGAGAGAATCTCCCGGCCTCAGGAAATGCCGGCGCCTTTACCAGGGCTTGGACAAGATTTTTCTTGGAGGAGCCTCTCGGTCGGAGGCAGGTCTGGGCTAATTTCACAAGTGTCGCTGGAGCTGGGGAGCCGTCCCTGGGCCCCACCCGCCGCGGCCGCGCTCCGCTAGCCTTTGTTTCCCCCGCCAGACCCCCGCCACGCGCTCACGTGGGCGGTAAATAACCATCAAAGGTTGGGGGGGGGGAGGAAAATGCCCAAGGACAAAGGCTTGCTTTCTGCACCTGACAGTAATCCGTGGTGGCGAAGCCCATAAATCCCGCAGGCGATTCACAAGGAAGGTGGTGTGGGCGGGCGCGTGTGCGTGTGTGTGTGTCCACGTGTGTCTTGCGCGCCCGCACCCCGGAGGGGAGCCGCGGCTTCGGACTTAATGTATTTAAGCCAAGAGCAGCTGTAATTACGAATGCGAACCCCTCATTTTTGAGAGACTAATAAAAAAAAAAATCCACTCCTCAACTTGGGAATTAGCCTTCAGTTGTGTGAATTTCAACAAATGAAATTTAAATTTTATATTTATCCGATCCTCTGTAAGCACTCTAAAAAAAATTTTTTTTTAATGTTTGGTATTGTTAAGTGTGTGGGCCATTTGGGACACGGCTTAATGATACTGGCTGTAGAGATGTTAAAACTTGTCTCCAATTAGTGTGGAGGCTGGGGGTGGGAAATGATCAGTTTACACAGGAACCTTGTGAAACAGCTGGTCTATAAGGTAGATCTTGGAGAAAACAAAGGCGTTTGGTAGGAAGACATCGTTTGAATGTCATCTCAAAGTTAATTTAATTAAGGAAGGCATATCTGCAGGAGTTGGGTGGGCTTGCCCAAGGAGAGAGATTTTATTTATATTCAGCAGTGAACCTCGGGGTGAAAATACTTTAAAAATTCACTGTGACATGTAAATCCAACTTTTCTTTCATCAGGCAGTCCTTAGACCGACCTTATTAGTCACTGGCAGGCCTGGCAAAGCCCCTGCTCTTGTTTAAGAACATTTCTTTCCAATTAAGAAGTTGTGTGATCTGGGAATTTAAAGCCCAGAGTCAGATCCCCAGAGAGGACTATGGCTTCTATTCTGGCTTCGATGCCAACCTCTGACTCACTGCCCTGTGCCAAAGTGCCTGAATAAAACTTGCCTGAAGACCCATTAATGAATTAATCAAGGTGGCATTGGAAAGAAAGGGTCTGTGGATTCCTCTTTCCTGAGGGGAGAAGGTACCTTGTTCCTTACTGTCACCTGGAACTGGAATGATCTGCTTTGCATGGACCCACTGGCTGGGCTTCCTAGATCAGCTGACCGGGGAGCTTCCCCTCTGGCGGTGAGAATGCTCAAAAGGACTGGGAAGCTGTCTCATGCTCCTGAAAGCAGAAAAGTGTGTGTCCCCTGTGTTCTCGTAGGCAACATGCACGAATGGAACTGAGGAATGCCTGTCCTTCCCTGCCCACCTCCGCCCATCAAGTCAGAACTCAGAAAACAGTGGTTCTTCAACATTTAGACTGAACGTGAAGCAATGTCAAAAACATAGCCTCAAGTTTTAGTCCTGACTTTGTCACATGTACTCTCTATGCAGAATACTATAGCACTTGCTAATGATTTAAAATGCTAGGTTTCAAAATGAAACGAAAATAAAATGCTAGGTTTCTAACCTTAGGGTCTCTTTAGAAAGCTTTTAATACATTGCTTGGTTCACTACTTTATTTGAAAACTATTGGATCTAGGCTATGCCACTATCTAGCTTTGTGATCTTGGGCAAGACAGTCTCCCCGGGTCTCAGTTTCTTCATCTGCAGATGAGGAGTTGGGCCAAGGCAGTTTTTAAGGTCTAGTCCCTTTCGCGCCCTGTGTGAACCTGAGCAGGAGAGCTCCCTGTCAGCCGCAAGCCCAAACTTCCGCAGGCATTTCCTTTCCCTCCCCAGAGCCAGGCACGCTAAAATGCCCGAGACAAATCCGCAAGACAAAGAACAGGCTCCAGCTCCAATCTGTCCCTCTTTTGCTCCTGGGGAGCAAAGTTGATAGTTTTTATTTGTATGTTTTGTGCTAATGTCCCAAGCAGCTTGATAAAACTTGAGCTGTTCAGAATCAAATTTGGGGAACAAATACTTCTCCAAATAGGAGATAAAAATGGCCTTGGCATTTTGGGGGGTGGTCACTGTAGCTGTGAATACTGCTTTGCTCATTTATTCAACAAACACACTAAACTCTGGGGGCGGGAAACAAATTAGTCCAAAACACTGACTGTCTTCAAAGAGTTTATAACGTAGTTGGGCTAGAGTCAGGGTGGGACTGTCACTGTATGTGACCGCAGGGCAGGCTCTAATAAATGTCATTAGGGAAGAACAAACAAAATGCCAGGGGGTTTCAGAGGAGAAAGGAATAGCACTCTGCTGCGGGATTAGGGAAACGCCAGGAAAAGGCCAATGCAAATAAAATGCATTTCATCTACTTAAATGTTATCCTTGGCCTCTCTTTTAGGTCCTTTTTATTTTCTTTTTTAACTTTTATCCCACCTCTGACATTGGTTCCGTCCTTGTGCCTTGTATCTTTTCCTTTCATTTGTTAACCTCTCACCTCCCCCTTCCCCAGTGGTTTTGCCTGCTAAAAATAGATGAGCGATTGGTCTGAAGCTATCAGAGAGCC